TATATATATATAATACTCTCAACTACATATTGATACAAAGTATTTATGTATTATGATGATTGAGTCTTTTCTTTAATCATATATTAATTTGAAATTCAATATTTTATTTTAAAAAAATTGAGTTTACTTTTACTTGAGCTAAAAACATATTACTATATAAATACTTGATGTGTCAATATTTAATATATTTATTTTACTTTACCATTACTATGTTAATCATAAATATAATAGGTGATTTTATCCTTTGTTAAACCTAGTGAGAGATTGAGCAAGTAGTGTCACTTCAAATTAAACTTTGTCATATTGAATCAAATTATGATTTATTAAGGTCGACATTGAGATATTAAAATAATGACTGGTTTTGTCATATATTCTAACCTCAGTGCGATTAATATACACTAAAAAAAATGAATCTTATTATGTAGCATGATACCACACACACATATATATATATGTTTGTTTTATGGAAAAATGATTTTTATTTTACGTTTTCAAAATAATTATAAATTAATTCAAACTAATTTACTATTTCAGAAATACTGTTTTTTTTCCTAAAAAAAGGAAATAAAAATAATTATTTTAACATTTTTATTATATTATTGGAAAATTTCTATTTAATAAAATCACGATTTTTTTTAAATCTGCTTTTTAAGGGAACAAACAAGATTTCATATTTTATTCTTATTTCAAGTTGAATACATCACCGTCTTAAATTTTTTTAATTAGGTTCAAGGACAAGGAATATAAAATTGATCATTTCCTCTTAATTTAGTTTTTTTTTCAAAAAGCTATCTGAAGTATTAAAGTTTATTTAATTCATTCATTCGTTGCCCGCATAATAAAGACGATGATTCGGATTCGGTGAGCTGTTTCTTGACGAAATGGTGAGAGATTAAAAGCACGATGCCAGCAGCCAAGAACCGTTTATTGTTAATTCTTGTTCACATGTGAACATTGTGACGTGCATTTTCTACACACCAACACGGAGAGATACGAATAATCTTCTATGTTATAAATTAAATTAATTTCTTATTTCATTGATTGGTATGAAGTGGTTGACTTTCTGGAACTCCATATCTATCCTCTTGTTGCCTTTGGCTTTCTTCTTCTATTCTCACACATACCCATCTTCTCCTTCCCTCATGGCTGAACAAACTTCCAAATCCATTTACGATTTCACTGTCAAGGTTCGCTTTTTTTTCCCCCCCTCTGCTTAGAAATTGTTTACTGCTCATAACCAATTGTTGTTTCTCTTTAATTACTTGAAAAGTTTGTGACTTGCTCGTGCCCAGTTGTGTTTGCACTCGAATTGCTTGATGGGGTGTGTGAAGATAATCTAGGAAATATCAATTAAGATTAAAATAGGGTACAATATATTTGCTAAATTATATTTAACAGCTTCTGATTTTTATTTTTTTTTTGTATTTCGATTTTCAAGGAGGTCAATGAAGCTTGCTGATATAATTTTCTTTTAAATTGATGTCTTTGTTGCATATTTGCTTCGGCTTCTGCTTAGGCCAATATTGCAATATTTGGATATATTTTCCCTCGTTATTTTATGATATTTATGGAAAATAACTTGAATTCGGGTTGTTCTTGTTGATTATTGGTTTATCTATGCCTACTTGTTCTGTCCCACCAAAATTTTTGGGATAAGGCTCGTTGATTTTGTTGATGCTGGTTTTATTGTAATTGCTTGAGTGGGTTTTACTTTAATAATTTATTTTTGTTTCTGGTGTGAACTGTAATTGCAGGACATCCGTGGAAATGATGTGAGTCTGAATGATTACAGCGGCAAGGTTCTACTGATTGTGAATGTTGCCTCACAATGGTAACATTGTTCGGTTCTATCTTCTTTCATTCAATTTCCTTTCATCTAGTAAATTTATCAGAGTTGTTAAATTTACGTATGTTATAGACTATAGGAAAGTGTTGTGTAGCTGTTAAGGTAAAGAAGACACATTCCTGGAGTTGAGACCATTTAGAATATATATTGTTTGATTTGTTGATAAAAGATTCTCTCTATTGCTGTGTTTGATGTTTGAGAAATGTCATAGCATTACTATGTAGAAAAGTATGATACTGCAATCTCTCTAACATGAAACAAGGATACTTATCAAGTTATCATATTCCATCTTTCGGTGAATCTTTTATTTAATATGGATTCCAAATAACATAGATGTTTGTTCAAAAAACTTGCTTACAGCTGGAAACAAAAAGCTATATATAAGATTGGACCTTCGCAGGAGAATTTAATTGTGAGCTAATCCCTACAGACATTGAAAAGCCCATAGATTTTAGGGCTACGACATTGACTTCTGGGTTGGATGATGCTAAACTACATTCTGTTTCTTATTAATAGAAAATATGGCTTAAGAAGACACAATATATATGGCATTAATATTATCAGAATCTGTATAACTAGTTTCTTGCATGATGTTTGTGGTGTTTTTCTTTTATATTTTATTTATTTATATATTATTAGATTATAAAATATAAGATCAGTATTAGTTGTGTTCTGGCTTTAAATGGATAAATTGAAAATTTGGGTTTTTGATAGAGCCCACCAACGTTGACGGGTTCATGTTTATATGATCCATTTAGTGGGATACGGTTTGGTGTTATTGTTTGTATTAGAATTATCTAATTACTGGACACTATTCTACCTCATTTTATTCTGTCTATAACTAATAATATTATAATTCATTGCTGCAGTGGTTTGACTCAGACAAATTACAAAGAATTGAATGAATTGTATGAGAAGTACAAGGATCAAGGTTTGTCACTTTACCTGGACAAATAAAAGAAAGAAATATATGTCAACTATATTTATGAGGTTGTGAATTTATAGCACTGAGACTTCTAGTTGTCTTCAGGATTTGAAATCTTGGCATTTCCATGCAACCAGTTTGCTGGACAGGAACCAGGAACCAATGAAGAAATTCAGGAAGTTGTTTGCACAAGGTTCAAAGCGGAATTTCCGATCTTTGATAAGGTGATTTCTACTAACCACATTGTAATTCACATGTGTTTCCTCATATTTTATTCGTAACTCTCTTCTTTGTTCCCTTCTGTGTACTATTCTATCTTGGTCTGGCATTGCTGCAAATTTTCCTGCATTGAAACTACTTATGCACGTGGAAGATTTTTTTGGATACTGTTCCGTGTGGCACTTAATATAGAAATCATCCTAAAATAATTCATTGTAGGTTGAAGTCAATGGGAAGAACGCAGCACCACTTTACAAGTTTTTAAAGGATCAGAAAGGGGGAATATTTGGAGATGGTATCAAGTGGAACTTCACAAAGTTCTTGGTAAACAAAGAAGGGAAGGTTGTGGATAGATATGCACCTACCACCTCACCTCTGAAAATCGAGGTTAGAAATATTATAGTGCTTATACATTTTAAGTTGGATTCCTATATTGGCATAAATGATATTTATCCTCTATAATAGCCTAAACAGAAACCCAACATTTAACTATAACTGAATTTCTCATATAAGTTTTATTTTTCCTCTTGCAGAAAGACATCCAGACTGCCTTGAAATCTTGAGTACTGAGAGTTGATTCTATAGAATATGTAATGTTGCAGAGGTTAGTTTTGCAATCATTAAGTTTTCGCCTCTTCGTTTCTTCTTGATGAGCATATGTGGGAGCTCAAATTATACTAGTTGTCTTGTAAATTATCTAACATTTCACCCCTCAAATTATACTAGAGTTCATTATTTCTGTTTAGACTTTAGAGGATTAGTCTTAAGATAACAACAACAACAAAAAGACTATTAAGTCTTAAGAAAGCTACATCAGCTTATATTTTGTTCTTTTGTGCAGGACACAGGCAATCTGTCCGGTGCTTTCGAAGGACAAGTAGCAGTATGTTATGCCCTGGAAAATTCTTAATATATCTCGTGTATTTGGATTGTTCAATAAGAGTATAAATTGATATTCTCACTCTGTAACCAAAACCATAAAATAATATATTTGGATGCATGTTTATGTTATTCTGCATGGCTTAATGTATATATCACTTATCCACGGACTACGTAATTGCCCTCTTAAATTTTTAGTTGGAAGTTTTCTGTGAGAGGGAAAATTATTTCTTTGGTGAAGACATTTCGCAAAACTGATAGTAAAGAAAAACCATCAAGTCACCTAAACGAAGGAAATTTTAATTTTCAGATAGGAACAGGTAATATTATACTTTCTGAGTTTATGCGTTGTTAGATCGCTGCTTAATGTTTTAGGGGTTCCTTTGCGTTAGAGGGGCTATAAATAAATGTTTATATCCCTAGTAAAAAATCGAGGTTCATAATTCTTTTTCCTGCTCTACATGTCATATCAACAAACATAATTTGGCTGGTGGAAATAGAACAAAATTTTAAATCCTTAGTTCTTTTTATAAATGATTGAACAATTTTTTAAATCCTTAGTTGTGTTTCTAAAACATTTTTTTTTTCCATTGAACGTAAATCCAACATTTTTTTCCGATCACTTTCACTTTCTTGAGACGTCGAAAGCACACGATTAAACGACAAAACTAACACACTATCATTGATTAGAGCAGATGAATAAGAATTTAAGTCTAATTTTCATTGTTATTATTATAATTTTTTATTGATAAAAAATTGTTCACTTTTTTGTTTAAACCTCATCTCTTATTTAGATATATCAAATCCAACTAATAAAAATACCGGATAATTTTCTTTCTTTCTATACCACTTCGCAATAATTGTATTAAGAATATATATTTTTTTTTGTAATAATTGTATCCTTAATAGCATTACTTATACAAATTAAAAACACAAGGAATAGTATATAATTTCTAAAACCATTTTATTCTTATAGTTGTAGATTAACGAACAGGTGAATTACTCGCTTGACATAATATTATGATAGAGTTTTTTATCCATTAATATTATTATAAATTAGTTACTTCTTTTGAATCCTAAATATATGATTGTCTTCTAATAATAAGCAAAATTACTTCTTGTAATTGTGGTTTGTAAAAAAAAATCTTATAGTTATTTTCGTTTAAAGTTTTACACCTTGATCACTTCTTTTTTTATGGTAGTTTATATTGGAATCTATGTAGCAGTTAGTTTTTTACTGCGAAAAAAAAAAATGTTCTTTGATATTAATAAGGTGGAACGAATGAATAGTTTTATTCTAATTTTTTTACTAAAATTAATAACAAACTCCGGAATTTAAAAATAAATAGCAAAATATTTGTATTTAACTTTTTGATGAAATTTATTATTAATTAATACTTATTTTTAGATTTAATTTGATTTTTACATTAACCTTGATTCGAAACGATGCGTTTAAGGATGGCAATGGGTTTATCTCCTTCGTTTTCTTCCTCAGTCATCGTTGGCCAAGAACGCAGCATCAGCCTCCACTCTGGGTGAGCCCCCAGCAAGTTGGAAAGAAAAAAAATGCAAATTTGTGACACACAACTTTATTGTTGAGAACAGGACAACCTTTGCGTCTGCAAAATTCGATTTTTAAGGTTATTGCTTCCCGTCTTCTGATAACTCCCCAAATGGCTTCCACAATTTTCAGAAGCCTCCAAGTTCAACCCTTTCTGCTTTATCCAACAACATTACTGAGACGAAGAAATGGGGTTTTTCAGTTCACGACCAAAGCCACACAATCCCAAGCAGAAACCCAACAGAGACAACCACAGAGCAAGGTTTCAACAAGCACCCAGTCCAAGAAGCTTGACAAAATCCCAAAAGACTACGAAGCCATCATTGGCATTGAGACACATGTTCAGCTTTCCACTCTCACCAAAGCCTTTTGTGGCTGCCCTTACAGTTATGGGTCACCACCCAACAGCAGCATATGCCCCATTTGCATGGGTTTGCCTGGTGCTTTGCCTGTTCTCAACTCCAAGGTCATTGAGTTTGCTGTCAAGTTGGGACTTGCTCTCAATTGCAACTTGGCTTTCAACTCCAAGTTTGATAGGAAACAGTATTTCTACCCTGACCTTCCAAAAGGGTATCAGATTTCTCAGTTTGATGTGCCAATTGCCACTGCTGGCTTTCTTGATGTTGATATCCCTGTTGAGTTTGGTGGGGGCCACAAGAGGTTTGGCATCACAAGGGTTCACATGGAAGAGGATGCGGGGAAGCTCCTACATGCAGAAAATGGAAATTACTCACAGGTTGTTTTGTTTCTTTACCCTTATTTCAGCTTGCAAGTTGCAATCTTATATTGGTTCTGTTTGCATAAAACTTTTCTTATAGGAAAATAAAATAAAATGGTAAGGTGAATTAAGCTTCTTCTATGAGTTAAAAATTAGTTTGTGCAGGAGGTTAAATAAGAGAGCTTTTACAAATTAGCTAGCTGATTTTAACTTAGAGAAATTTAATTTATTTTACCTTCTTATTTTCTTCACTTATAAATGCTTATTGAGAGATGTTTATCCAAATAGGATGTTACTATGTTTTCTTATTTGTTTTATATCCAAGTTTCAGGCCCCCTTTCACATTGTGGTCTGTGGTCCATTGACAGACTGCATTTGTTCATATGATATAAGCATTATGTTTATTTGAGCTATTCTTTGTACTGGATCAGTTTTCACTTTTCACTTTTCACATATTTCTTTGATGAATAATTCATATTTTGAAACCCATAAAATGGTCTGTTCCATCCACTGACTAATTACCAAAGGCTAAAATTTTTTATATATGATATAAGCATGTTAAAGTTTGTGGTCTTTCATGATAGGTTGATCTAAATAGAGCAGGGGTACCTTTGCTTGAGATAGTTTCTGAGCCTGATATGAGAAACGGTATTGAAGCAGCAGAATATGCAGCAGAATTACAGAGGTTGGTGCGGTATTTGGGAGTGAGCAATGGCAATATGCAAGAAGGTTCTCTTCGTTGTGATGTAAATGTATCAATACGACCCATTGGGCAATCAAAGTTTGGGACAAAGGTATCTAACTGAAATTTTTTTTCTACAAAAATATCAAAGGCTTTTAAAACGCCTATTATTGGACTTTTGCACCTAAATTGTTTGAAGCTTGTTAAAATTGCATGGATACTTGTCAATGTTATCCCTACTATAATTAGTCATTATAATGAGAGAAACTCTGTTCTGGCTGAATTTTCTCTTTGCAATAATGAGGTTGGAAGATATTAAGAATATAAATTAAAGTTAATCTTATTGCCCATTTGCCATACAAAGAAAACATTTTTTCAACAAGACAGAAACTCAGAATGAGTTGTTGGATATCAATTCATGATCAGTTCTGTTTTCACCAAAGCATAACTTACATGAGCATGATAATCATTATATTTTGGGTAATGGTAAATTGTCCTCCCCTCTCTTGAGAGATGCTCAAATTATACTACCCTTACCCTCTCCACTATTTTTAAAATTTACATTTCCGTCCCCTAAGAGATGGAGTGTCCTACACTTCCATTTTAATATAAATGACAGTGGTGAGCAACTATGAACAAGCCTTCCATGGGTATATTTCCTCTCAAGGAGGAGAGTGTAATTTACATGCATCTGTGTTTTGATGTCTTGCGAAATAGAAGTATTTGTAAGCAAAAAAAATGAAATGTGAAATTTTGGGTGTTGCTTACCTTGATAGCATGACATTTTTCTCAATAAATGTGTGCTTTTTCTTTATTCAATTGCTACAAGCAGATCTTTTTGGATGAGAAAATTGACTTGTCTTTGCAGAAATATTATTGCCATATTCTATAAAAGTTGGCTTGGCCCTTGCCTTTGCAGAATTGAAGTGCCACAGAGTGATATTACTCTTTCTTTTTTGTTGTAATGAAGTATGAACAAAAACAATATATTACTGATTAGCAGCTAATATGATCAATTGTTACTGGCAGGTTGAAATAAAAAATTTGAACTCATTTTCATCAGTGGGCAGAGCTATTGATTTTGAAATTTCAAGGCAGGTGCAACTCCATAGTCAAGGCCAGGAAGATCAGATAGTACAAGAAACTCGTTTATGGGAAGAAGGCTCTCAGGCTAGTGCTATATTGTGATCTTGTACTTTTCTTTCTAGTGTAGTGTAGCAAGTGCAAGATTGCATTTTCATTTTTATCTCTTTAGTTCAGACTTGTATTTTTAAATAACTTCTGTTATTCTGTTTAGAGAACAATTACGATGAGAAAAAAAGAAGGGCTTGCTGATTACCGATATTTTCCAGAACCAGACCTTCCAGCAGTAATCCTTTCTCAAGAATATGTTGATGGTATAAAAAATTCTTTACCAGAGCTTCCAGAAATTAAGCGGAGAAGATATGAGCAGATGGGCTTAAGCATGCAAGATGTTCTTTTCCTGGCTAATGATAAGAATGTGAGTTTTCTGTTTTGTACTGACGGAAAATAGGTGAACTTAATAAAACAGTGTACTAAAGATTAGGATAGAAATATTATTTGAAAAGAAATAGATAAGTAAATACTATCTACTAGATTTCCTATATCCCACTATTGTATTTTTATTGTTAGGAAATGTTTTTAAGATTTGTCAGCACCAAAGAAATATCATATAGGCCCATGCAAAATTCCAAGTGTGATAATGTTATATAAATATAAATAGGAAAAGAATGTTAGTCAGATAAACTTTTAGATATTGTTATAATAGTAAACGGCTTTCTATTTTGACATAATCTCTTAATCAAGTCCAAACATAGTTAGGATTAACAGATTGAAATCCCCCCGACTTAAGAAGACTTGGGATGTGTTTGGATAAACAACATAGTTAAGTACTTATTCAATAAATTCTTACCATGTGATGTGAGACTCTCATAATTTATTTTCGGCTTCTTTCAATAAATTTCAAGGTCAAACTTATGATAGCCCTAATAAAATCCATTGATGCTCTTCAAAACACCTGCTCAATCCAGTACAGTACACATTAGAAAGCTAAATAGTAGATGCCATAAAGTTTATTAGCACAAATGGTCTAATCAGATTTTTATTTTCTGAATTGATGTATTTTAGATTGCAGAATTTTTTGAAGCAACTCTGGCAAAAGGTGCTGATCCAAAGCTGGTTGCTAACTGGATAATGAGTGATATTGCTGCCTTCATGAAAAATGAAAAGCTGACCATAAATGAGATAAAGCTTACACCTGAAGAGTTGTCTGAGTTAATAGCTTCCATTAAAGGTGGAACCATTAGTGGCAAGATTGGGAAGGAGGTATGGTTTACTTTGGTACTAATAGTGGGGCATAGTTAGGGTCTAAACTTCCCTGACTCTCACTCATGATTTTGAACCATTAAGCTGCAGTCAGAAGTTATACATTGGGATGTTAGTTGTGTTAGTGTATTTTAACTATGGACCAATCCAAGTGTGGGCATTCATTTATAAAATATGTTGCCTGTTAGAAACATATACTATTTTGTCTAGGTATAGTATACCATGTAGATATAGTAATTAGGAAAATTGGATCTTTTGTATTTATTCCACTCATTTTGTAACCATACCATCAAGTTTGTTATATAGTTGCAAGATCCAGTTTCCAGCATATGCTTCTCTTTGTTCTCTCAACAGTTTCACTTATTTTTATGCTTCATCCTGTATGCTAGTTAGACTTTGGATACGACTGCCGTGTTTGATGAGGCTTTTATAAAGGAGTTGGGTCCATGTGTAGTGTCCGCATCTTCTATTTGTCCCAATGAATTGGAAAAGAAGAAAAAACAATCATGCAGTTGTGGCTAAATTATATAATTTTGGACATATGTTGCATTATATATTTTCACAATTTGTTCATGTTTTTGCAGATACTATTTGAGTTATTAGCCAAGGGTGGAACTGTTAAGGAAATTATAGAAAAAAAGGACTTGGTTCAGGTAACTTGTAGGATTAACCATTAACTGAAATTTTTAACGTAATGTGAGTCAGAATTCAGCAAGGCACAACATAATTCTTTGATATCGAAGCATAAAGTTTTTAGGTTATGATTTTCAATGCAAATTTAACAACTACACTGAATTATTTTTAGTTTGTGATTTTTGAGTTGTTATTAATTGAGTTTTAAAAAAATTTAAAAAAATTCTTGAGTTGGTTTGAACATTTTAATGTGAAACCTCTTCTTTGAGACTGTACCTTGGGCATTATTTGTTTATGCTTGAGAAAAAGAAAATGTATTAATGGGCTTGTGCCTTTGGAATTGACAGATAGTAGATCCTGTTGAGATTGAAACAATGGTGGACAAAGTGATTGCAGAGAATCCAAAACAGCTAGAGCAGTATCGTGGAGGCAAAACTAAACTACAAGGTTTTTTTGCTGGCCAGGTATGAACATGTAGAGATGGAAGGAATTTTTATGTTTTTTCCCTCTATATATCTTGGTATCATATAGGTTTGTCCAAATGCAGGTAATGAAATTATCTAAAGGCAAGGCAAATCCAGGTCTCCTTAACAAGATCCTCTTGGAGAAATTGAATTCAAAGAGTTGATGCTAATAGATTGTTATCTACTTCCTAATCATGTGCATAGCATGACTTCCAATTCGATGCTTGGCTTCTTGCTTGGTTCATCCTTGATAAAATGTTATCCAGTCAATAGACAAATTGCAAATGAAAAGATGTGAGGCTGTTGTGTTGCTCATTGCTGAGGAAAGTGATTGATTCTATTGGCTAAACATATAGCTTGATTTTTTGAAATAAACCTTGTACATTTTGAATTCTAGGTTCCAAAGGATTTCTGCTTCAACTGTTGAGACTGCAGTGCTCTTCTATTTTCTTCTTTAGGGGACGTAAGATTATATTTTCAAAGCATGTAATTTATATTTATGTTTTCACTTAAGTCATGGCTTAAAAGTTTCTTTATACATCTCATGTATTTGGATTTTGTAACGAGTATATTTGGTGTTCCTTCTCTTACCAAACAATAACGATAACACAAATGTATTTACATTTATGGCTTAAAACTCATGGCTGCATGTATTTACACAAATGTATTATCTACTATCCATAGATTGATTGGTAATGTTCTGTACGATCTAGATTGGTTTGTGTATTACAAATATACGTGGATTTGATTAGATTAAGAAAACTTATTATTATTATTATTATTATTTTATATTGACACTTATATATTACAAACAAACAGATATTTATGATATTTTTTATCTAATCCAATTTTTTATTTATTATATTTATTTATAAATTAAATTTTAATATTTTAAAATA